ACTGGGACATGGGCTGAGTCCTTGCTCTTGCCAGGGCTTTGGGGCTCAGGGTGCCAGGGTTCCTCCTCCAGGCTGGGGTTGTTCACACTGGCCTCCACCTGAACGCAAAGCATTTAGGCCTCTGTCACGTCCCCACTGTGTTGTGAGACCTTGGAGGCCTGGTGTGCACTGATTTGGGGCACTGATTTGGAAACAGGTGGCTTTTGGTTGTGCTGCACGGCCTTCAACTCAGTGGCCAGCTGTTCCTTAAGGTGATCCCATTCTTGATCTGGGGCACAAGGAGTATCTGGTGGGATGGGCAGTTCTTGAAGCAATGTTTTTTCCTTGGTTATTTAGATTCCCAGGAGACTCCTGTGTTGATATGTTCTCTGGGACAGTTGCAGCTTGTTCTCTGGACTCCCTTGCTCTTATGGGAATTCCCAGTTGAATCTCTAGGACCTTTATTCTCACGCGGAAATTTAGTTTGACCAACTAATGACGTGATTATTTTAAAAGTTTACAGGAGTTTCTGTAAGCCACTGTAAAGGTCAGATTTTAACCCTGGAACCACCAAAATTGTTCAGGGATTTTTAAACTTTGTGAATGTATACCACATAAACAAAAACATTCTATATTTGCATTGCATTTATCAAGTGCTTGTCTAACAAAGCTTCGCACATGTCTTCCTAAAGACTCCATTTGTATTTATTGTAATTGGAAAATAGCATCTTCCTCCCAGTAAAGATTTTGTTGCCATCTTTACTTTAAAACATTAGTTTTTCCCTAAATGTGTGCATGTTTGTATGTGAGAGCATTACAGCAAAATGGAAAGCCTACTACACTAGAAGTCAGAAAATATGGATATATCATTTACTCTGCCACTTACTATCCTCATGACAAGCCATTTAAAATCTATAAATTCTGTTTTCTCGACCATGTAACAAGACAATGATGACTGCTTCTCTTACAGAGCGTTACCGTGGTACTTAAGACAAAGTATGTGGAACTATCCTAAAAAGATATAAAAAGGCATTGGAACTTATATATTATTGTGTATATGTATATTAACAGCAAAATCTTTGAGGTTAGGACCATATCCTGCTCCAATTTTTTATCCCATTCACCGCTAATTGGCAAGTATCATAATGGCAGTCCACAGTGGACACTCAATAAAATTAATGATAAAATTCAAATAAATAAATTAAGCTGATGATATAATTTACTTAATCCTTCATATATTTCTTCCTTCATTAAAATCTAATAGTTCTTGATATCTTTTCTGTCCGATATGATAAAATTTACATTAAAAATAAATAAAAATGATTTTGAATTGCTTGAAATTTATTATCATGATTTTATTTCATGGACAAATAATTACCTTTTCTCCAGAAACAGCTGGACCTGGGGAAAATCCTGGATCTCCTTTGAGGCCCTAGATAAAACAGTTATAAAACACTTGGTGAAGCATAAATTACATACAAGGGTATTTCAAAATATGCATGGAAAAATAGAATTAAAAGATAATACGAATCTTTCCATGAACTTTTTGAAGTACCCTTGTAATATATCACATATCTTCTGTTATTTATCATTAGATGCTATATACATTAAACGATATTAAATAAAATTATTTTAAATTGAGATGGCATGGGTTATTTACTTTTTTATGTATATTTTTCTTAGCTTTATTTTTACATGCTGAAAGATTTCTAAAAATTTCCTAGACATAGTTGATTTTTTATATCTAATAAATATAAGGCTATACTACTATTGAAATATTTTCAATATAAATATAAATATAAGGTTATACTACTATTGAAATATTTTCCTTTGAATTGCCTAGGTAAAGGCTCTATTATTTTTACCATTTTTGTGACACATTGAGTTGTTATTCCTATTTTAGTATTGGAAAACTAGATACTTTAGTTAAAAAAACTGCT